GGTCAATGTTTACAACATGATGACCCATAGCAATCCTAAGTCTCCCATGGCTACAAAAAGATTTCCTCAATAAACTAATCCATTTCTTCTTTAGGATGAAGGCAAGTAATTGCTAGTTTTCCTCATCTGTAGCATTAGAAATGGGATCCCCTTCAGCTATTGAAGAGCTGCCTTCTGAAAAAGTATAGGGCTCCATGAGAATTTGATGGAGTTCTATCCCTCTCTACTGTATATATAACATCTCTATGTATCTATATCTGCACACACATGCATGCACAGATACACAGACACACAAACACACACACATTCTTGAACACAGCCAGGGATATGTAAAACAAAAAAACCCACCCATAGCTATCATTTTTGTAGATTAGGAGTTCTGGGATTTTTTGTTGTTATCTGTTTGATTTGATGTTTCTTTCACAATTCTTTTTCTTTCCTTGAGGTACCTTAGTGCCTGCGTAAGCAAGTCTAATGTTATGTCATTTTCTAGTCCCTTGAGGTGAAGGGTTTTAATCTCTGAAATCCTTTTGCCTCAAATAACTGGAGAAATTATGAAACAATAACTGGTGGACATTTAAAAAAAATACTCTGGGTGAGGTAGAAACTTGGTGAAAAAAAAAGCAGTAATTAAAACTTAGTCCGCTTAGTTTCAAACTAGTAGATTTCTGTTCACAGGGGAAATATTATAACTGCTGCATTGTACGGAAAGATAACTCTAGAAGATTTCAGAGAACAAGGAAGGAATGTTAACTTAAAGTTGATCATTGCTTGTACATCTACAGGTAGAGTTTAACCGTTGTTATCCACCCAGGTTTTTATTGTGTAATATTGATATAAATATTGAAAAATATAGGTAGGCTAAGTAATCTTCAAGTTTTTTTTTTTTTGATGAAAGTCATAAGGTAAACAGGACCCCACATTTGCATCTGATAAGTTACATAATACATACTTATCTCTTGAAATGGATTTTCCCAACTGATTTAAAATCCATTTAAATCAAATTTTCAAGCATATTTACCAGTTAGCCATTCTCGGGTATCAGTTATATCATGTGTATTGCCCTTAAAAATGATTTTCATTCCAGCCTTTGACTTTTCCACCCAATTTTTTTATTTTTGGCCATAAACCATCAGGACATGCATAAGCATTTACTCATATTTTTCCCCTTTCTCTTCTTTCTCTTTTTGCTTCTTTTTGATTGTGGAAGATATGCTTATTCTAAAATAATAATGATTCACTGCCACTCTATCTGTAAACTATTTTCTTGGATTTTTAAAAAAGAGTATATGTAATTCACATACAGACAGCAATCCCATTGTGGATGTTTATTAAACTCTCCTGCCCGTGAACCTTTTTCCTCCTTTAAGGCATTTGGAAGAGTGTTTTAGCTTTACAGCCACTCTAAAGAAGCTGCAAATTGCCCAGGGCTAATCACTAAGCTTCAGAGCTGAGAAAAGATAATAGTTGTAGACATCAGATGTCTAGCATATATCAGACTGTGTTGTGAAAAGGAATGATAATTTAAAGGCAGCTTAAAATACTTTTCTCCAGTTATTTTGTTCCAAACCCCCAGCAAAAAAAGATGCAATTGTTTCTTTACAGATTGTAAATTAAATCACACTAATTGATTTCATTGTTTCAATAGCAATTTGGAATTCCAAGTTAATTGTAATAACTGTGATAAAAGGGTGTTAATTGGAAAATCTGAAAATACAAAATAAAATGATATATATGCATTATATATGTCTCTTCTATGTAATTATAATTATATAATGCACATGGACATTTGCACACAAACAAAATCCAAACCCTAGTTTTTTTTTAAATATTCTGCGAGATCTGACCATCCTATAGGCTTCTACAAGCAGAGTTCTCTGAAATTATCCCATTCATCCTATAGAGAAGAAGTTATGTTGTAGTTTATCATTGGATGTAGCCTATTGATTGATGGAATCACAGTATATAATCATGTAAACTGAAACTGGTAAAGGATGTCAGTCACTCAGAGATGCATGCTTTTTCAATCTGCATTTTCAGATTTTACAAAATCCCTGGAGAACCCTTGCCAGGTAAATAATACTGAAACAGAACAATGGGCTGACATGGTGTAAGGAAGCTTCCTATGTTCCATCAGTTTAAGTGAATTGAATGTTGGCCAAACTTAATTAAATTGCACTTTAATTCATATTATGACTTTCATCTAGACTAAGAATCAGAATGATGTGGTTTCTTTGGATTCAGTTTTTGTGTAGTGCATAAACTTAGTTTATAATTCTGTTGCTGCCTTTGTCCACTAATTCTACAACATAGAGTATGAGAGTGATATCTTTTGTTTTGTACTGGTCCATTTACAAGCAATTAGCAATATTTTTTCACCTTTCAATTATAAAAACATTCCCCATCGCCTACATATAGAATCTAATTTCAACTTGGATTACACCATTTCAGTTTAAGGCACAGACAGATGTTAAAGATTTTCTCCTACCAGTTAGGTATCAAATATGTTTTTTCCCATGAATTTCTCAGGTTTGAAGAACCAATCCAATCATGAATGCAAGGATTCCATGTAAGGATAGATGAGAGCAGAAGGAATGACTATGACTTAATGGATCTAAGATGCTAATAACTGGAAGCATTCTTTGGTCTTAGAGAAATAAAAAACATTAACTTCACAGGAAGTTGGTTTAATCTTTAAATCAATTTTTCCATTACGCTTTTCTCCATTACCATGTCACAGTTTTTGGATACTGAAAGAATAATTATTAATCAATCTAACTGAAGCATTTCTGTCCCATGATCAAGGAGATGAGACACTCTTGTAAATACACTGAAATAGGATTTCAGTAAAGCTGCTTATCTTTTCCATAGTAACAATACTTACTACCTGCCTCAGTAATTAGGATTAACAAAATTTGCCATCTCCTCTGCTGGCTTCTTTATATTTTTCTGAGAGGCTTCAGGACATGTAGTAAGTGATAAGATGCAGTGAGCAATGAGGGAATAAAACCAGTGGTAAATATGGCTAACTATTGGGGAATTCTCATAATTTAATTATTTGGTGACAATGGAGGTGATAAAACATCTAGTGATCTCTGCCCAGATTCCATCTGCATATGTCAAAGGCGATGTGCACTGGGTAAGGATGGCTGGGATAGAAAACTTTCAAATGGAGTGTCACAACCATTTTGAAGTTGATGTACTGATTACCAACAGATTTTGAGACCCAATTCAAAGTGTTAGTTATTATAGTACTTAGAAGTCCATGCATAATATGGTGACAGAATGCCTCAAGGATGTTCAGTCCAAACATTATAAGGAGATTTGCATCGAGTTCCATCACAGGAGTCAAAAGCACAAACTTGACAGATTTAAGACTTGTGGACTTCAACTCCTAGAATTCCTGAGCTAACATGACCAGAGAAGGAATACTGGGAGTTGAAGTCCAGAAGTCTTAAACTTGCCAAGTTTGAAGACCCTTAGTCAAAAGAGCATCAGCGAGAGAGCTGGTATTTTCTGCTATAGCCCTCACACTGAGGAACAAATATCCCAGAGTATACTAGCCACTATCCGTCTGTCATTTTGGAACGTGATGAACTTTTTTTCCCCCTAAGGACCTTTGGCTTGGAATGATAATTTTTGGGTGACCATAAACTTGTGGGTGACTAGCTAGTTTGTTACTTAATGTTTTTAGAGTGGTTTATGGGGTGTTAGGATTTTGTTTGTGCATAGATAATCCTGAAAATATTAACAGATGTACAAATTTGTAACAGGAGAGATGATCCCTTATATCAGGGGTGTTAAACCTGATTTTATTGAGGGCCGCATCAGGGTTGTTTGCTCGGGGGGGGGGGGGGGGGGGCATGGTGAGCTCTGTTCTCATTGGCAGAGGTTCCACAGGCTGTTCCTTTGCTGTTCCTGTGGGATGAATTTGGCCCATGGGCCTTAAGTTTGACACCCCCTGTCTTACATAGTTAGGCCAGAATTCCCAGTGAACTTGGCCAGGATTCTACAATATACAGCTTGGAGAAAACTGGAGAAGAAAATATCTGAATATTGATATTATACTGAATTATTAAAGATTATATCTGACATTAATACAAAAAATATTAATTCTAGCAGCAATCTGCAGTATAACACTTTGTTACATTACTCTATAGTTTCCTGTAATCCTATATTCTTCCTCTTCTTTTATTTTGCTGGTTTTATATAAAGAGATTGATGGTTACTCTTCAGTCTTCATTTCAGGTAGTAATACCTGCATCCAGAAGTCAATCAGATTCTAACTTACGTTGCAAATTCTGTAGCCTTGGCTTTTAATAGTAAGAGATGGTTGTAACCATTGGAGCCGAGTAGCCTATAGACTTGTTAAACCCATGGCCCGCAGAAGCCCTTTTGAAATATTTTTATATATAGTAGGGTTTTCTGTCATTTTGAGATAGGAAAGACATAAAAATTATAGTATAATGTACTGTAAAATGAATAATACTGCAAATTCAGAGGTTTCAGTTTATCCTATGTGAAAATTCTCTACAATTTTGATGATTGTCGTCACCATCATCAGCGTTATCATCATCAAATGTAGTCTTCATCTCCCCACTTAAAAAAAATGTAAGGCACCGAAAATTTACTCAAGTTTTTCTTAAGTCTTCCTGTATTTTGAGTAGCTGGGACAAGAATCAGTGAAATTGGGCTTTATTTGCATACATAAATACATTTGCCGACTAAAAGACAAGGAAGCAAATTCAATTTATACAAGTGTAATATGAACATATTTTTAAAAAAGATGTTTAAGATGATATTTACAAATTATATAAATAAAAATCCTTATTGATAATTGTTTACTTTCCTGGGTGTACAAAAATGTTTATTGATGAGTAACATCCCAGGTTGCAGTATAAAAACATTTGTTTGCATACATTAAAAAAGAGGTGATATAAAGAAATAAGAAGTGTGTAAAAGTTAAAAAAAAAGAAAAATATTTATATATAAATATATAGAAATGCTTGATATTTCAGCTTTCAAGATGCCTTCTGCAATAGCTTTAAAAACAGTATTTGTCTTGTGAAAAAAACCCTGTCAAGAAAAGTCAGTGTTAACAAAAGAAATAGCCCCTTTATATTTGATCATATATGGCAGAGAAGAGACCATTTAAAAAGATCCAAGAGAAACCAGAGAATAATAGCACATCAGTGGCCAGCCACAAGCCCTTGTACAACATTTTACTTAGAGGCAGCACATCTGTAACAGACTATACACATCCTTCACTGAAACAGCAATTGAAAGGAATAAAGGAAATAGTCAAGGGAAACAGGAAACCATTGTCTTCCTAATTATCTTAGATAAAATGGATGCTTCCCCCCTCCCCCCCTTAATAGCAATATAAACACTCATAGCAACTACGTTGATTTATACACACTAACAACATAGATGTTGGACAATTGGTACCAAATGAGATGAATAGGAAAGAGAGGGGCAGGGAAAGAAATGACTGCGGTTTCTCTATAGGCATACCAAAATATAAAGCCATGTATGTTTTCAAAGTGCCATGAATATACAGAGTTCAGGTGGCTTTTCCCCATCCCCCATGATGATTAAGATCACATGAAATGACATTAGGGATTGCTGGTTTCCTCACTCTCATCATGAATGTCCCCTTTAGCTGCTTTGGTGAGAATATCCATCCATTTCATTTGCAAGTCTTCATCTTCAGCACTGAAATATGTTGTCTGCTGGGACTGGCAAAGTTTGAACACGTATTTTGATTCAAACTTTTCACCAGAATGTGGAAAGTCAATTTCGTATCCCAGCAGGGGTATGCTGCGTGGAATGCGTCCAACCTATGTGCAATCCAGAAATAAAGAAAGGTGTGAAAATTATAAAAAGGTTGAGCACAGGCATGCAACAGATGAACAGGGCCAATAATTTGGGAAGGAAGCCATTCGTTTCACACTTGAGGAAATAAAAAGCATTTTGCAAAAATAGTTGCATAGGTTGGTTTCCATTAAAACTGGTACACAGAAGAGGTAGATGCTGCTATTCCCATTTGATACTTAAGACTGTGGTGAGTTGGCCTTCTACCCATGGGTTTATGGTTTGCTAGGAAAGGAAAGCATTTTTTCTGCATATTTTATGAATCAACATATTTCTCTTTATCATTCTAGTGTAGACACCATAGAATGATCTAAGAATAGCTTTTACTGCTATATAAATCCCATGTATTTCTAGTAAATATGGTTTAGCTTTTAAATATGCCTGAGCTGAGGAAATCTGCTTCTTTCATGCATGATCAAAACACATTCTCAGCAATTCCACAATTGCATGGATCCAACATTGAACTTTACAAATCCAGTGAAGATTCAAAGTCACGCTGTCTTAAAATACCATGTTATTTTTTTCCCCGCTCTTAATCTTGGAGAGGATAAATATTTTTCAAGATTAAAAAAAAATCCTCTGAAGTATTTATTTGAAAAAAAAAAACTTTTCTTGAGACTAAGGCAAACAAATAATTATTGTGTCTCTCTGTTGAGAAAATAAGAGGGTATGAAAGAAGAAAAAAGATTCCAGGAACTTTTACTGAATTCAGTAAAGTGTTTTTATGGTTGAAAGCAACTAAACTAAATGCTTCCACCTAGGACTCCCTAGCCTTTGGCACTTTTTGTCTGAGTTAAAGCAGAAGGCAGTAGACTCCTGAAAATTACAGGACGGATCTATTATACAGTACTATCCTCAGGACGATCTGGCCTATTCCAAGTTTCTGGGTGAGTCTCTGCTCTAGGCATCTCTGACCTTCCAGAAAGAAAGAAAAAGCAAAATGTACAAGGACAATTGGCTACCTTCTTTGAGGGCAGATCATCCACAACAGTGGATCCACAAGACACTGATCATACTGGATATAACAATAGCACTTAGACTTATATAACACTTCACAGTGCTTTACAGTTCTAAGTGGCTTACAGAGTCAGCCTATTGCCCCCAACAATCTGGGTCTTCATTTTACCCACCTTGGAAGGATGGAAGGCTGAATCAACCATGAGCCTGGTGAGATCTGAACTGCCAAATTGCAGTCAGCCGGCAGTCAGCAGAATTAGCCTGCAGTACTGCACCCTAACCACTGCACCACTGTGGCTCAATATAAATACAGGAAGGCCTAAAAAGAAGGATGATTGGAAAAGGGAAATTCTGTATAGTAGATCATGCAGAGATAAACAGGTAGGCTTCCAAAGTATAAATATATTTGGTGCATACCTCAGCATGCCAGCAGTTTCCTAATAGCAAAAAAGTACATTCCAGCCGAGAGCTTGAGAATTACCAGTCTGACTTATTTTTCAGTAGTTGTAATATTCTGAGGTATTTACCTGGTTTTCTCCTTGGAGATATAAGACAAGAGGCTCTGTCTTAGGAATGGTGACCCACACTTTACACCAAGCCTTTCCTTTCTCATGAAACAGGAGGTGGCTACTGAAGAGACTATTTTCAGAGCTCAATAAGCTTTGTTTCTGGTAAAAATAATAAAAATATATTTATATTCTCATGCATTTATTATTCATTATATATGCTAATACATCCTGGTTTAAACATTGGTTCACACATAGCAAATGGGCACAGAAGAATAATTTACCAGTAAACCAAACTTTAAATATACAGAAGTTTAAATAATCTGAATTAGATTATTGCTGCAAACAGTGAAGTTTAGAAACTGAGAACAATTATTAGTACCTGATAAGTATTTTCAGGCTTAAAATAGCTTGGGGAAAGTTGAAAATTAATAAAAAGTTGTGAATTGAGACCTAGACTTTTTATGTGCTAGTATTAAAATAATCCTTATGCTAAGTCCAGTATAAAATAACTCTCCCCTATACCCCCAGTGTTGCTCAAAAAAGATTGGGTTTTGTTTCATGATATACAAATTTTCATTTCAATATAAAAATCAATTAAGAAGTATAGATATAAGAAGAGAAAGGAATAATGAAATTGTCTGAAACACACATATACACACACACACACAAAACAACAAAACCTTACCACCAAGCTTGTTTCCGTAAATCAAAGATAGAGCATTGATTCTGTGGTTATCAATTTTTTTCTTCCTACTTTTCCTTCTATTATTTACATGCCAACAAATCTGGTTTCCCTCTTATACCTATGGACTGTGCCTTTTTTTTATAAACACTAAATATGAAGAATTGAAGTTTTTATAGAAATAGACTTATTTTCCCAACCATAAACTTCTCCATCCAAGTTCCTTAAGTTGTAACCAGAGGTGGTATTCAGCAGGTTCTGATCAGTTCTGGAAAACTGGTAGCAGAAATTTTGAGTAGTTCGGAGAACTGGCAAATATTACCTCTGACTGGAGATTTTACAGTATCCTTCCCCTGCCAGACCCACCAAGCCATGCCCACAGAATCGGTAATAAAAAAAATTGAATCCCACCACTGCTTGTAACGTAAATAGCAAATCTGCTATGAAATTTCCTAACAATAGAATATCAATTATTGAAGAGGAAGCTTAGTCAATGAACTTTCTAAATATCTATAATATAAAGAAACAAAAGAAGACAAGACTCTAAAAGGACACATTATAAGAGAAAGTCTGTTAAAAACTTTTTCTATTTTACTTCTAATATCACTGACCAATGCTTTTTATTTCAAGTATAATAGTAAGCAAGATCTAATCACATATGCCAATATGATACATCTGAACTTATTAAGAAATCAGACACAATAAGAATTGCTTAATAATGGGAGGAATCTACCATGGTTAATGAATGTGCAAATAACTGGAAAACTAAAAAGCAATCTCAAAGAAAAGAGGGACCCTGAGAAAAATGACAGAAGTTTAAACACACAGAATCAAGATGATCAAGATATACTTACAAATTATTAATCAAGTATAACAACATAGAACAAATTAAAATTATATGATACAATGGATGCAAAAGGAGAAATAACAAAAGGACAATGGGAAGAACTATGGAAAACATTAACATGATTTGCAGCAAGCAACACTTTGAAATTATGTTTAAAATAAATGGTTGTGAAACTCCATCAATTAAGTCCAAGGATGCAATAATAAACCTTGGAAATATCACAAGGATTATTTTACTATTAGATATCGTTTTTGCCAAAAGATTCAAAACTACTATACCGAAACTTCTAAAAACATTCTAAAAAATAAAATTCAAATTTAAACCAGTAATATTTGTTGGTTAGGACCTCACAGAATATAAATGAAAAGTGTCTCAAATTGTTAAATATGTGCTGACAGCAGCAAGAATCAATTTAGCACAATATATTGGAAAACAGAAATGTTGCCATCAATGCAGGACTACAAGACTAAAAATGGGAACAAATGCAGCAAAGGAAAAAAAGACTGTATATATTCTTAGCAAAAATCTAAGCAAGTTTAAGCAGTAATGGTTCCTTTATACATATCACAAAGGAAGGCAAGTTAAGATGCTCAAAATATGGTTTTTGAAGAAAAAGTGAAACTGCTTTAAAAATCATTAACCTCATTCAAATGATTCAGAGAGAAATGAATAATAATAAAATAAAGTATAAAAATATTCAAGTAGCAGTTAGAAGCGGGGGGGAGAGGAAGAAAGGCGCTACCAGAATGCTTCTTCCTAATCATTTCTTTTTTCTGTTTGTTTGTTATGTCTTTTAAAAACTTTTTATCATTTCATTTTTGTTTCAATTTATTTTATGCATGTATATGTATTCTTTTCCCCCCTTGTCTTCACTTTGCTTTTTTGTTCTTGTTTTTTTTTCAATTAATAAAAAATAAAATAAAACTAGGAAAAAGCAAAGCTTTTGTCGAGGTAATCGGCCGGTCTATACTCAATTAAACATGATAAATATACCTCTGTGGTTACTTTTTTTCTTTGTTCTCCTGCACCCTCGGTCCCTGAAATGCACAGGTTTGCTGACGGCAGTTGAAAGCAATCTTTGCATACCCGGTTTTGGCGACTATTATCAGCAAGAGTCTTAAATTCAGAACATTTGGCACAGATAACCTGGATTAAACAACAACACCAGTATTAGGATAAAGTTTCCTGATAACAACATTGATTTCTGTTCCTAAAAACAATTAAACTGAATTGTTGCTCTAAGGTTTCAGTACCAATATCTAAGATATAGCTACCTCCTGCTTCTTCATCTACTTGAAAAACATTAAGGAATAATAACACTCTATGTTATTTTCTCTACAAAAGCAAACATATAGATTTTCCTTTTTATTCAATGTTTTACAGAACTATTTGGCTGTTTTTGATATTTCTAAAAGGTTTTCTGAAAGCTTATTAGAATAAAAAATTTAAAGAGACCACTTATGAAAGGGTATTGATTGGTGCTTTGTAAATCGGACATTCACTTTGCAATCTCTTCATTTCAATATATCAAACTGTTATGGTCTCCAGTGCTGAGGAACCTACTCCGAATGAATGTCAGCCTCAGGACTCAGGGAACAGCCAAAAATCCGAGGCTGTCTTCACCAACAAACACCAGAAACAGTGTTGGACAAATCACATGCTGGAATTCTCAACTTTGAGTAGCCACCCAGCTTGAGAACTACCCCAAACTTCAGAGGGCTGAGTAGTGACCATATCCTTGAAAAATAAGAGCAACAATAGTCTTAACATCTGGCAACTTGTCATAGTTGTTCTTGGCTGTCTGTTGGAAACAACTGTTACATCCTTGGATCCATGCTCCTGATTCTCTGGATACCACGTGCCACTTGAAGTTCAGCAATTTCACCTTGGATCCTTTAGTGACACCTGAACCACTACTGTTTGTTGACTATGCTTCCATCTGCTGATTCTGCTTTGGTCTCTCTCAGAAGCTTCCTATTTGTAAGCAGTGCTAGTATACGCATGCACATACATGCATCTGTGGTCTGTAAACCTTTGCCTGTAAGCACTTAAAAATCAAGATTAAGCCACTTAATCAACTCTGTCTCTTGCTCAGCCAGGGGCAGGATAGACAGAGAAAACAATTGGGACCCCCAATTTAATTCTTTCCAAATTCAACTTATCTTATTAAATGTATCATTATTATTTACTGAATATTTTCAGGATCAATGTAGCAGTTGCCAATAACAACAACTTTAATTTGAGGAAACAAATAAAAAGAGGGAACAATGCTATAAACTGAACACAAAAGTATTTGCATCCACTAACAGATGGCTAATTAGCAAGTTCTTTTTCATAATTTTTATAAATATCAAATAAAGCATAAAGTAGAATATGGAACAGGAAGCACCTCAGATTGGTATTTTTGCAGTCAGTGTTTAGCTCTATTGGTGCAATTTATTGAATCATACCCTCTGAAGTTATTGGGCAATGTGACTGAAACCTCAACAAAATGTTTAACAGCCCCACGTGGAAAAACAAAACAAAAAAACCCCCTCAATTTGAAAATAATACAGTCTTTCATATCTAGGATATAACCTTGAAATTGGATCCAAAATACAATACTTGGTAAAACCACAGCTTAAAATCAGTATATAAACTTTGTATGTGTTTGAAGTTAGGATATACTCTCTGCATGCAACATTCAAGCAAAGAGTGCATTATTTGTGGGAAAATATTTAAATAATTTAAAAATGTATAATGCATTAAATATGTTAGACTCTGATGGCACCTTTATGTTTCCTATTTAATCCTATTTCATATTTAAGGGGGAGCTGGGGAAAACTTTCTAAACATTTATTTTTTAGTAATACCCAGCAAGAAATTGATCCTTTGAAACAAATGGCAGGAAAAATGTCCAAATATAATTTCAGTACAAAAGTTGCACCAGTAGTTTACATGTTAAAATAAAATTTTCTTTGTATGGTATATAGAATATTTATATCTGTATCAAAGAGATCAGATGTCAGCTTTAGCAGTCACTGTAAACTTTCTGTCAGAAATGCCAACTACAGGGTAATGAAGTAGTTCACTGGATATAATTAAAGTGCTAGATAGCATCCTAGCTCTCCAATACAGAAGAGAAACAAAGTTGTTCTTAAATCATTTACATCTAAAAAGATCACATGAATCAGCTTGCTTTTGCACCCTCTTCTCCATAGTTCAATGCAATAAATCACACTTCTACTCTTCCCTGTTTTAATCTGCTTGTAAACACCATGCATGATACAGCTGAAAGGTATCTATTGTGGGAATCAATGGAGTTCTAGATTCTGGTATCTGGCCTGCAGAGTTAAAACAGCTGGACTGCAAGTGATGGAACGACTGTGCCCAAAAGCCTAAAGTAGAGCAATGATCAGTCACTTTTCTCATATTGCTGAATTTTCAGCAATCCCAGCGAAACATGGCTAAAGTGGGTGTTACAGTTTAGCAACATCTGGAGGTTGGCAATTCTGAATCTTTTGTCTAGAACAGTAACATGACACTGCATCATTGAATGTAACTTAGCAGAATTGAAAAATAAAATATAAAACATTAAAAAGCCAATGTTCTCATGTATTAATTAACTGGGTTTGTATTATGCCTTTTATCTGATAGGCATACACTGATGAGTTAAACCATGTACAACTTGAAATGGTAAAACATAATGGTTGAATTCATACTTTAAAAAAAACATAAATTGTTAAAAAATCTAAAACGAATAAATGCCACTGATTTTAATTTGCTACTAGAAACTTGTGTTTAAGATGTGTGAATTCCAAAAGAAGTATGTAAATAGGAGATATAAGTGCTGGTGCCTTTTCTTTTAATGGGTGAGAGCACGTGAATATTTACTGAGCCCCTCATCAATCTATTTATATAGCTATGTCATAGAAAAAAATATTGAAAGTTAATATTTGTAATAAATAATAGTAAAATGGCATTTTCTTAGCAGAATCTTGAAGACAAAGAATGTCATGTCACACATACATGATCAAAATTAACAGAAATAATGCGGCTTTTATCTAATACTTACTGCCCCACACTGTTTGCAGTGGTGTCGTCTTTTTGTAATGGAGTTAAAGCTTTCACTGCAACTTTTGCAAGCTTGTTTCTCTTTATCTCTTTTCGATTTTGAAGATTTTCTGCAGCACTCAGGCTGGAATGAAAAATGAAATTTAGAAAGATCACTACAAATCAATAAAATGCAGCTCAACTCCTATCGTATTATCTAATATCAGTAAGGGACATATTTAAACTACGCAAAGAGTAAAAATACATTAAAATTACCCAGATCCAAAGTTCATTAATATGATCACTTTTAAAATAAACATTAAATAACTTTTGACAAAGCCTAAAGTTTCTAAAGCACACCTAGATAGTAACCATTACAGATTTTTGGCAGTCTATTTACATATTGGTAGTCTCTCAATTATAATATATGATCCACTACATCTTTCAGAATCTAGACCTCGTACCATAGAAAAAAAGATGCAGAAAAATTGGGAACTCCTGGAAGTCTTCAGTTGATGTGTCATTTCTTTATACAAGGATACTCAAATTACTGCAGGGCAATCTAGATAGCACCAGACACTTAAGAGAAGCACAAAAGTTCTTCTGAATCTTTAGTATTCCATAAGATCCATCACTATAAATATATGAATTAAAACTTGTTGTATTAATATATATTTTGAAAATCTCTGCTTCATGGACAATGTACAATGATCCTATGCTGGAAAAGCAGGCAGACCTCTCATATATCAACATAACTTGACTGGACAATCAGCCTATAGTAGGGATTTGGGCAGTATATCAACCTCAACACCAGAACAAGAGGGGATTGTAATATTTTATGTGAATCTGATCATGTCCAAGTGTATTCGTGGTACAAATATCCTTATGTGAAATCCAGGGACAAGCTTGTGCCCCTTACGGCTCAGCTAGCAAACAACACCTGCTGGGGGGAAAGCAAAAGAAAAATATACATGCTGTCCCATCAGGGATAATTTTGGACATTGTCATAAGTGATGGCCATCCCCATGTTTTTCTCTTTTCACCTGCAAGAGTATATTTTAATGCTAGATACAAATTCAAATCATTTATTGGGGTATGGTCTGCCAGAGTCTTTATAAAGACTGCCACTAAATTGGAACTTCTAATGGGAAAGATATTAAAAATTATTAAATACATGAAGAATGTAATTGCATTTAATTAAATGTTGATTACATGTATGCTTATGGGAAATTAAGCTTGTTCTTGTCCTGGCTGATGTCATGTCATTACCCACTTGGAATCCCCTTGTCTCTTCAACAAAGCTTACAACATTAAAAAGAAAAGAAAAGAAAGCTATTTCAAATGGCTGATGAAATTACATGAAAATATAATTAAGTCTCATATATTTGAGTCTACACACTGTTTCAGCCTTTTGAACGTTTTGGGAGTTTTCATTTTAGATACGTCAACAAATTCAACACAAAAACTTCAAGGAAGAGAGAACTTTTTCCCACTAAGGCAGGGAGAGCCTGCAAATTTAAAGTAGCAGCAGCAATAGTAACAATCTCTATTGCTTTGGAATTAAAAAAATAAATAAAAAAAAAACTATTGAGGATCATTTACTAAAATATATAACCCTATCTATTTTTCTCCCTGAACTTTACCACTTTAGTTTTCCAAACTAATTGTGGTCATATCTCAATGTGCAAAGGTTGTTTTTTTTTTTGCACGCTTAACAGTACGAACAAGGTGGCTTCTCGTCTGCTAACTATTATCACCACCAAGTGGCAGATTTCGCCTCTGCTGTACTGGTTAATTATCTTTTATCAAGCACAAGATCAAGTAAAAAAGAATTACTACATTCACATCACCATGTGAAAGTATGATGCTTCAATTTAACATTGTACCCCTCCTGTGTATTTTAAAGAGCACTAATTTTAACAGAATTATTTCCTTTTCTATTAAAAACAAAGGTCATACATAGTCTATTCAAATAACATCATTATTAAGTAACTGACACAAGTGACATTCTAAAGAGAAGCACTGCTAAATTGCAGCAGATCCAGAAGGCTGATGACTAGCTGACAACTCTTAAGTGATCTGTAATTAAAGTAACTATTGCCTTTCAATGAGTGGCAGATGGGTGGGATTTAGACGAAGAAAAAGATAGACATTTCTTTTTCCCCAGGGAATCCAGTGCACCAGTACATCCCAAAACACTGTAAGAGTATCGGGCTAGGATTGAACCCGATATTCAAAAAGTCCTGAAAGAACTGGAACCAATAAGAGAAATTAGGCTGCTAAATGATGAATGAGGGTTTTTTGTGTGTGCTTTCTTCTATTCGCTTCCATTCTCCCATGTCCTTCAGTCTTGTTTTAAAGCTAATGATTTCATAGAGTTCAGCCTCAACTAACTTGATGCATGCAGATAGATTATTTTCTCAAATTTTACTTTGTTGCCTTGATTATTAATCAAAACCCTTCATAGCGTTCTTTTTAATCCAGTGTTGGTTCTGTGCTACCATTAGGCTCTTTAGCTTGGCCATTTTGATAAAAAGGGGAAACTGGAGCCACTTATTTAAAAGCTTGGTCTTTGGGAACTGAGGCTTCTAATATGGCACATCAAACCTCTGGGTGAAGGAGGGACATCTCCCATTTCAAGGACCAATGAAGGCAGCATAACCTTCTGCCTGGCTGGACTTCATAGCCACATTCAGATACTGCAGATGAGATGGGCATATGTGCAAATCCTAAGAAGGACCTGGCAGGTTTATGTATGCGTTAGCAACAGACAGCATGCTGTTCCCCCATTATAAACTTATCAAGTTAATATTTGTGTGGCTCAAATAACTCACGATATTTGTACTTCGTTTTACCTTTGGACACATCTGAAAGGCAGTAACACATTTTGTATCTATTTCTACCACAAATGAGCCAAAGCAACTGAGATCATGGAAAAAATTGAAGAGACAGCTGCCAACTTTGCTCCTACACTTCAAGCCAAAGTTTCTTAAAGTAGAACCAGAAGGTTTCAGTAACTTCTCTTAGCAACATATTTATTTAAGTGATATGAATAAATATAAATGATTTAATAATCATTCATTCAAATCATTATTCAAATCATAAAAACATATGAAGAATAGTTGCAGGAATTGGATATGTCTAGTCTAGTGAAAAGAAGGACTGGGGTGATGGGATAGCAGTGGTCCAATATTTAAGGGGCTGCCACAAAGAAGAGGGGGTCAAGCTATTTACCAAAGCACCAGAAGGCAGGACAAAAAGCAATAGATGGAAACTAATCAAGGAAAGAATTTAGACCTAAGAAGAAACTTCCTGGCAGTTAGAACAATTAATCAGTGGAACAACTTGACTCCAGAAGTTGTGGGTGCTCCAACACTGGAGGCTTTTAAAAAGTTTGTCTGAGATAGTATAGGGTTTTTGGCATTATGTAAGATCATAATTTTCCCTGCTAAGCAAGTGGTTATTAAGTGGGTCGTGTCAATTTTATAATTGTTGTTTTTTGCCATGGTTGTTAAATGAATCACTGCAAGTTGTTAAGTGAATCACACAGTCATTAAGTGAATCTGGAATTCCTCCACTGACTTTGTCAGAAGCCAGCTGAGAAATTCACAAATAGTGATCACAGGACCTCAAGATGCTGCATCTGTTATAAATACCTGCCAGTTGGCAAGCATCAAATTTTGATGATGTTGTGGGAATGCTACAAAGGTTATTAACAGCAAGGACCAGTTATACTTTTTTTCAGGGCCATTGTAACAGTTGCTAACAAAATGCTTGTAAGTTGAGAACTGCTTGAATCTTTGTTTGCTTTGGTTAAATAAAGTTATATTCTTATTTTCTTTTAAATTATTTAAATGCAAGAAAAATGTGTACGCCTTAGAAGAGAGAAAATCTTATTTTTATCAAAATAATAAACAAATTCAAGTTTTCTTTATATGCGGTTGTGGTAAAACCACTGTAATCCAGAGGGGTAGGGAATATCTCTGTTTGATCTTCTACTGCTGGTATTGTCTATATTTGTTCAACTGGGGAGGGGAACCTATCCTCTTAGCATCGCATTCTCTCTCTCACAGCAATGCTTGTACACCACAAAGGCCAAAAATATCATTTTAAGTGGAGCTGTCTTCACCCAAGGCAGCACAGCATCTTCAGCCAGCCCTGATTGTAGGATGGACGTTCTTTTATCTCTAGGAAACGCCTCTTTTCTTTTCTGGTGGCACCTGCTATAACATTCATGTGCAAATATAAAGGGAAAGATGCATTTTCCTCCCTAGTAGCACTATCTATTCATATGTAGATTTACACAGACTTAATAAGGCGATCAGTTACTAGGCGGAAACACAACAGATTAACTAGCAACCATTTCTATTATCAGATGGCAACCCTAATTATAAGGAAGTCTGGTGTAGCTGAATTAGGCAGAGCAGTTAAGCCTAGAGTTAAATGGGGATTTTCATATGAAAAATACAGTTTGGTATTTGAGCAACTGAAAATTTGAAGCAGTCTGTGAGGCCTCTGTCAAATAGTATGTACATTGCTATGGTTTATAGTGCCTGCTTGAACATGCAGCAAACTCAGTGGTGGGATTCAAATTTTTTTACTACCGGTTCTGTGGGCAAGGCTTTGTGGGTGTGGCAGGGGAAGGATACTGTAAAATCTCCAGTCAGAGATGGTATTTGCTGGTTCTCTGAACTACTCAAAATTTCCACTACTGGTTCTCCAGAACTGGACAGAACCTGCTAAATACCATCTCTGAGCAAACTGCATTTAAAGAAAGTACAGAAAATTAGGGCTTATAGGTTTCATAAGTCAGATATATGTTAAAGCTTTGTATAAGAAAAGGTAAAGTATAACCTTTATCATGGCAAAAATGCTTTTGTAAGTAAAATGGAAGGAGGAATTACAACTTATCTATACCAGTTTCTGTTTCCTACACATGTGCATGCACAAATGCACACACGTGCACTCACACAGAGAGAGCCCCATTAAACAAAGCATTCTGACATCTGCTTTAATGAGGCATCGGTTTCACAACTGCTTACCCCTGCAGATGTGCTGCTACTGCTGTCTGTTCCTGGCATAGATTCCATGGAACTGGTGCTAACTATCTGAAAAACAAACAAAATTGGGGAATCCTGAAATTAGACTCAAAGGTAAAGCCAAAGGTAAAGAAATTAACAAAAAGATAATTCTAAATAAACATTTAAAACATATAACATTTTTTTTAAATAAAAATGTTTGGTCTAGTGCAGGGGTGTCAAACTCAAAGTCAGCAGGGTGCTTAGATCTGGCCCATAGAAATAACAAAGGACTGGCCCGTGGCGCCTCTGCTAGTGAAAACAGGGCATGAGGGGGGGTGTGCCTCGTTTTCAGCCTGGACGGCCTCCTGCAGCACTCTGCTGGGCAAAACAGGGCATCTGGGGGGGACTGTGCTGGTTTTGGCTTGCAGGGTACTGCAAGAGGCTGTCTGCCCCATCCCCACCCATTCCCTCAGTCAGCTCATGGAGGACAACTACAATGGTGATCCAGCCCTCCAAGAAATCCAGTTGGACACTCCTGGTCTAGTAGTTAAAGGCTAGAAAACAGTAGAGTGTGAATTGAAGTCCCACCTTAGCCATGAAAGCCAGCTGGGTGATTCTGGGCCAGTCACTCTCTCTCACCCCAACCCACTTCACAGGATTGTATTGTAGGGAAAAGGAGGAGGTGGGCAGTGTGTTGGATATGTTCATTGTCTTCAGTTATTTGTAAAAATAATAAAGGCAGAATACAAATAAACAAACAAATAAACCATCACAAATCAGCCCAATAATCCCTTGTGTTGGCCCAAGTACATTAAGAAAGATTAGAATTACTGTGTCAGCACATCGTACTTTCTGGTGCTATCCTGACATTTGCAATTGACCTAGAATGAACAACTGGCAATATTAGGGCCGCACAACAGTATGTTAGAAAGGTATTTGAGGATACCTAAAATTTTATGAATGACTGATATAAAAATAAGTGAAAAGCATTTCACCTATTATAAAATTTTGTTGCTTTTCACATTTATTTATTAACAAAAATGATTTGAAGCTAAATATTTGGGTGTGACAGAAGTATGTCAACCTTTGCTTTCAGTAACTCTTGGGCAGCAATAAATGCAACTAAATAAATGAACAAATAAAATGTATTTTGACTTCTTTATTTAATTGGGTGCTCTTCATCTAGTTTTAGAGTTTGTATGGAGAACTGATTACATTTTAGGTCAAACTTCTAAGCACTACTGTATGTATATATTAACAATAACCCAGAATAAGTTTGGAACAGCATCTTGCCAAAGATATGTAGGGTTCTCCGCCGATATTTCAATTTTTTTTGAAAACTTAGCTGTTTTTCCAGGCTTGTATTCCCTAATACCCTAAATATTTCCAAGTACTTTGGGTAGAGTATTTGTTAAACCCCTAGAAGTTTTCTTTGTTGTATTATATATTTGTACTTTTCTTCTATTTTATTGTGCTTTACTTTTTAAAGTGTAGTTTGTCTAAAGTCACTTGGAATAGGCAACTGCTAAATCAAATCAATCAATCTAACAAAATTTAATTTAGAATTCCCATTTCTTACATTTTAGCCTTTTATTTCTACCCTGCAGGGGAAATCCAGACCTGTCAAAAGATCCCACTGAATACCACCAAATAGGCATCATAACCAAACTCTTCGGACAATCTTGTTAACTGTGTGAAAATGTGTGTCTGCCATACAATATATCTTAAATGCTTAGATTACTTACTGATGAATCTAGGAAGTGCTCATCTTCTTGAGAAAAAGAGTTATTAAAAGCCCTAAACGTTTCACTGTTCTGCTTATGTTTTTCAATTGTTGCTTGAATAACCTGTGGTAGTTTCAAAGAAAAGTAATAAGTAAAAAACATTTTTCAGCAAAGTCTTAGACCAGCAAAATACACAGTATTTTTTCTTAAATTATCATTGATTTCAACTGTTCAACAATTGTACCTTTTCAAGGCTAAAAATTACAGATTAAAATTATTCTGAAAACTGAGTGTCTTGCAGATAATGAAGGGCTAAGACTTTTTTGCTAATTGAATGCAAGCTTTATCTGAATTGTTTAGTGAAAAGAATGACAGAGAGAATGGATCTCAAAGAAGGAAACAGATGAGATTGTAACACAGAAACCTGTTTGTTTCCATTTTTCAAAAGTTAAATTGCATTACTGAAATAGAGGATATACTTATGAAAATGGAGTTAGTGCAAAATATGATCTCATGAATTTTAATTCAAAGCAAATATTGTGAATGAATCTTTGTCTGCTCTGAAAAACACCCCAAAAAACCAATCTCAATTTCCAGAGTGTGGACTTCAATTGAGATGCAATGTCTGAAAGACTCCAGAAAAGTGAAGGAAGAAAAAGTTATGAAAGAGACATAGCTCAAAGCAGTGGGGACCATGCAAAGGTAGAGGGGGAAATCTGCCTTAATTATAATCTAATCTAATCTTAGGTGAGAGTGTAGAAATGGGATAAATACAATGATATATATATTTTAATGTGAGATGTTTATGTATATTTGTTTTATTTATTTTTTTATATCATCCGTCTCCATCACAGAGGATCTCTCATATATAATAATATAACACACACACAAGCAATCTATTATTATAAACTATTATAATACATATGTCATGTTATATCACATCATATCATTCCACTGGTTGTTGGTTGAGGATCCACTGCAATCCATGCCATTACAGGCTTATTCCTTTCCAGCCCTTAGACTCAGTAAAGTAAGGGACTGTCTCCTGCTCCTCCCACCCGCCTAGTACAGTGTGAACCCACAGCCATCCTTGGAAGCCACAATTGCCTGCAAATGCACAGTGGCCTGGGAAGATCCAGCTGCTCCAGCAGCACAGAGCGGAGCAAGAGAAAACCTTGATAAAATAGATATTACCTGAATCCAATCTTTCTTTTCTTCTTCTGTCCTATAAAATTAGAACAAAGGATGTTTGCCTTTCTTTTTATAATATCAATTCTTTGATAACCAGAGGTAAAGAATTTAATATGTGGAATTGTTTTAATATCTGAAAGAGATAAACTAGGGAGCAAAACTTCACATCTTGCTAGACCTCACGTTCCAGACAGCTAAACTAAAGTCTCTGTTTGTTTCTGCTCTTCTACTTCTGTTGCAAGTCTCTGGAGAACCATGAACAAAGAATTCCAGAGGCTTTCTGTCCCACTGTGTTTTTTCACTCAGAAATAATGCTACCCTCCAGGTAGCCTCCACCTTGAGAGTGCTCTGTGCACACTATACTGTCACTTCCTCAGATTTCTTCTACTCTTCACCTTTTCCAATGAGCTAAACAAACCAGGCTCCGAGGGAGGCCAGCTTTCAAGGCAGAAGCATTTGGAAGCACCTAGTTGCTTCATTGGATCTGTCTTGTTGAAATTGCAAAAGAGGGACACAAAAAGCTCAAGACACTGTGTCAAAGGGCTCCCTTGAAGCACTTCCTTGGCACTTTCCAAGAGGAAAAGTGAGGGGTGGTAAGGGAAGTTCTCCAGTGCTTTCTTCCCCTTTCCCTCTCATGAACATTTATGAAAGATGGAAGGCAAAGCCATCCCCCTGAGGGTTGATGCCTCAAATATTTCATATTCCTTGCACTGGGATCTCCTCAGGATCTACACATTCTCAGTGAGAAGGATTTAATCCTGACTCAACACGATGCTCCACTTTTGCTATAAGTGAACAGCAATCCTTCTTTGCTGGGATTGAACATAAGATTATGACAGTTAATAGTGTAAGCAAATATAATACAAACAAGATGCATCAACTTTTTTCCTTTTAATATTTGTTAAACGTTACATTAGAAGTTTAGGATGGGAAAGGTCCAATTCAAGATATATTTAGGAGAAGAAAAATAATCTATACCTGGCTTGTAGCTCCAAGGATCTTTTCTTTCCTGTTATTGAAAAAGTATGGGTCACATTTTGCTTGACTATTTCCTGGACCTAGAAAACCAAATCAACATTTTGGCATTTTTTTTAGTATTTAATTCTCATCACGATCAGACAAACCAATATGTTTCTCTCAATAGGAGAGAATAGGAAAAAAGAATTCCTTATTAAAAATAAAAAAAAATCTTAAACAAGACTAGAAATACATACATCAGAAACTAAAACCAAAAGAATCAGATACAAACCTGCAGTCCCGCAATATCAATCTTTTCACGAACACTGAATTTCTGGCCTATCAATCTCAGTTTTGGAACACAGTATAACACCATGCTGTTAAACTGTAAATAACAAAAGAAATATTTGTTATGTAATTTTTTTACATAATTCTTTCATAAGAATAACATATATATACTTATAACCAAATACTTCCTTACATAGCTTTTTAATGAATCATAAGACACAGCTTTATTAAATAGACATTGTACATTCTGCTATGTATCAGAAGATTCTAGAATCAGGAGATTTAGATGTACTACATAGTATACTTTCAGGGGACTTTTATCTTCCTTGTAATTGTACCCTTCCTTAATACCACAAATAATATGTGCACAATCCCTTTAGGGCATGTCTGCACATGTACTGAGTTATTGTTTTGTATTTTATTTATTGTATTTGTATTTTCTTATTCTCTAGGACTTCAAGGCCACATACATAGGTCTCCCTAATTTGTTTTGATAATTACTAGATAGATCTAGGAAGTAGTCTTACTACTAGATTAGTCCAGAGTCACCCAGTGAGCCTCGTGGTTGAATGGGGGTATGTATATGATCCAAACTGCAACCCTACGTTAAACTGTTCCTTAAAAAGGTAAATTCTTAGAAGAATTCATTTGATGTAACAGCAGATAACTGTGCCAACATTATTCTGTTCCATCGTTATCCATATAGAAAATTTGATATACAGATAGTCCTTGACTTACAACAGTTCATTTTGTGACTGTTCAAAAGTTATAATGGCACTGACACAAGTGACTTATGACTGTTTTTCACATTTATGACCATTGCAGCAGCTCCCTTGTCACATGATCCAAATTCAGATGTTTGGCAATATGCTTGGCAATAAATATGGTTCATATTTATGACCGTTGTAGTGTCCCAGGGTCACACGATTCCCTTTTACGACCTTTTGACAAAGCAAAGTCAGTGGGGAAGCCAGATTCACTTAACAACTGTGTAACTAAATTAACAACTGCAATGATTCACTGAACAACTGTAGGAAGAAAAGTTGTAAAATGGGGCAAACTCACTTAACAAATATTTCACTTAGCAACATAAATTCTGGGCTCGATTGTGGTCGTAAATTGAAGACAACCTGTATTTAGATAGGATTGCAGGATAGCAAACTCCAGAATTAAACTCCAGAATTACTTCATTATCTCTCATTGACAACATTTCCTCTTACATATTTCCTTTATTATATTTAATAAGCCTAAATTTAAGTTTCATTATGAACATATGTATAACCTTACAATAGAGGATTCAGGGACAATAAAGTATATTGCTGTATCATATATAACAGCACAAAAAATGCACATGAAAAGAGTTTTTCGATATAAAAATAGGTAAAAACTTGCCGATTTTTTTGTAGGTTCCTAATTATAGTTTTGTGCTAAAGTTGCAGAAGGATTGATTTTGCCTATAAACATATCAGATCACAAACCACAATTTATATTATGGCAATAAATTAGAAACTTAATAACATGGATTGAAGTTGTTCTACAATTTACACCGTTTTATCCATTGTTATGTCTGAACTCAGAATTCTGGCTGATTCCTGATGTGCTTTTGTCCCCTTATCAAGATTCTCACCAATTGATCAAAGGTAAGATAAACATAACTAAGAAGGAAGACACAGCTTTGCATGCTAAACAGCCTTTGCTAAATAACATTGTTCTACCCGGATTCTCTTTACTAGAAGTATTCACATTCAAACACATAAAAAAACACAATCAGCATATCAGCAAAAAAACCCAACAATTTATTCACACAGAGACATACAAAATCCTTTGCTAAGACTAAAGAAAAAAAAAAACCAAACATCAACTATTCCTAAAATGTTTGGAATACTCTTTGAATACCGATAGCACCAAGTGGACTGATCATGAAAGAATAAAAGCTATCTATGAGAGGTGGAAATATTGTTTAAAAGCTACTGACAGAGTTTGCTGAGTGTGGGCAGATGTGCCAAGGATTGATTAACCTAGTCAAAGAAGCTTATGTGGACAGAGTAAAAGATTTTATACCAAAGAAACTAAGTGACTCACCAGAAATAAATACCTATCCTGTGCTGTGCCATTCTTTGCTGACAATTTTTGAATGTGACCCTCTTTAATCAATTCATTGGCAGGGTTAACAATATCTTCTTCTCCACCAAGGCGTTCATATACTTCTAACAACTTGTGCATCTTTTCCTACAAGAACAAAAGAAATACACAATACTGGTATTTCTAGTATTTGCTAATTTATTATAAAGACTCTGTAAGAGAAGGCAGTTCCATCATTTAATAAAGTAATATGTTAGGCATGAAGTTATTATTCTCAACCTTAATTTTATACTCTTGTACAAATAAGTAATCAGAACAGCTTTTTTAATAATAGAAAAACTCCACAGGCAACCATAGCACTGGGGACACATTTTCTTTTAATGTCACACAATGTCTTCTAAAAAATCAACAATTAAACCCACATGCCTTGCAAAGAACTTAAACACGTATGCCATCTGCAGTAGTAAAATACCTACAATAATACAGACACATGGGACATTTTACATTCTACATTCAATAAAAAGAGATAAAAGCTGTCTCAGCCACTTTATATAGTGAATAAGAATAATTTCTACTATCTGTCTTTTTGAGTTTTTTATGAATTCCGTGTTCTCAACACATTTCTTTTTATTTCTTTTTTCACTTCTTTTCATTTTGCAGTCGCAGATGACAATTTTCACACATTAATAATTATCAAATGAAGTCATAATAATCTGATTTTTAAAATTGGTTCCTATTTACCTTGTAGCAACATAAAATAAACCTATCAATACCCACTTAACACAATTCTTTTACAGTGGCTTATCACATAAGAAATATTTAGAATTATTGCAAAATCTGCCTGTGTACCAAGCAATAGAAACAAGTCTCAAAGAAAATAAATAAAATAACATATGGTACTGAAATGATAATCTGAGAATCATCCAACTAAGGAAATAGTTTTAATATATTATTGTTTATTTTTTAGAAAGTAGAGTGTTTTGCATGTATATAGATAGAGTCTGTTTCTAATAATTACAAATATAAAGGTATAATTGTCTAGATTATTTACTAGAAGATTTTCTAGTAATAACCATTTCAGTCTTATACTTTAGATTTGATTTTAAGGGTTGAGGGTTAGGGGTTTTTTTTTGACAAATTTAACTCTGCAGGCTTATTTTAAAAATGTTATTGTGGTTTTCTATAAAAACCTAAAGTTGCAATTCAACTTCTATGATAATCTGCTGAGCATTAGCACCTGAGAAAACTAGGCCACCGGATTAATTTTCTTAGATAAAACCCTCTTTCTCCTTCCTTTAACTATGTATTATAAATAATGTATAACAAGTAGCGCAGAGCCATGGTGGTCCAGTGGTTATAATACAGTACAGTATTACTTCTGACATGCTACATGCTGTCAGGCTACTTCTGCTGATTGGCGGCTGCCAGCAGTTCAGCAGTTCGATTCTGACTGGCTCAAGGTTGACTCAGCCTTCCATCCTTCCATGGTCGGTACAATGAGAATCCAGATTGTTGGGGAAAATATGCTGACACTGTAAACCATTTAGACAGTGCTGTAAAGCACAGTGAGGCATTTATAAGTCTAAGTGCTACTTGCTATAACAAGTAGTGAGGGGGAAAAAGTCCTAAAAAGCATACATGTAATATTAAATATAAAAACAGTAGTTATATATTAGTCTGATAAATATTAGAGAGTTCAATGAGTATGAACATCAATATTCAGCATTAATAAAACAACAACAACAGTGTTTCAAGCAAGCATCTCAGTTAATGGCTCAAATGACATTTGTTTTACATGCTTTCTACTCACCATCTTTCGGATGGCTGCGTTTGAATGGTTTGCTGCAGTAGAAATGAGCTCCAATGATTCTGCAATGTAGACAGTAAAATTGTACATTCTGAAGATTGTTATTGGCTAATAATGCAGTTTTTATTTCCCTGGTATGCACAATAGGAGTCCAAAACTGCAAGCTAGTGAACTCACTTCTCCCTGCACCATGTCTACACTTTTTAGGATCAATATCAATTGAATTCTTCCAGTGTTAGCATCACTGATTAAAAAACATAGTACAACGTGCAATATTATTAAACAAAAGAAAATTGTATTTACTCAAATGTCAAAACACAGTAAATTGTGCTGAATGGACAGCATGGCATTTACATTTGTCTCTTACTTTGGATTAAAATGGACAGCTTTAGTACGCAAACGTAAGCTCATTCTCTTCTACTTCACTAAAAAAAAGCATACCTCATTGATACATACTTACTGGATTCTACTGCATGTGAACCTATATACCGAAACAGAAAATGTGACTTAAAAGAAATTGATCAGTTCCTTAAAAAGTCAATTTTGACCCATGGATTGTTTAACTGAGTTTATTTCTATTTAATAAAAAGAAACCTTTATGTTTGAGGGTGTAACCTGACACTTTAGATGAGTGACCCTGAACGATGATTTAGCATTCTGTGCAGATATGTGAATCTTTTGTTCGATAAGCAGAAGGCACTACCAGCTTTCCTTTCTGAGGGAGAAAAAACTGTAAGAGAGCATTTCAGTTATTTTAGTAACCTAAATGAAATTGCCCAGATTTAATAGGTGGCATTGTATCATGGAAACCTGGGTTCATTATATAGGCTCCATGTAGTGTAGCAGATAGGATACTGTTGTAGGACCATGGGACTCTGCCTTTAATTCCTCCCTCAGATATAATATCTCACTAGGTGTCTTTGAACTGGTCACCCTCAATCAGCCTCTCATACCACACAGGCATAATTCTATGCCAGCAGGTTTTTTTCTTCTTCTTTCACCTTTCTTTTTTTTTAAAGTTGGCTACTGAATTATTTGCTTCTTCAGCTGTTAAAATATCAGAAAATATTATTTGTCAACAACCCATTCGAATTAATACATACTCAAGGCTTCACTCCTTTAAACATAATGGAATATAATGACCAAAACAGATTTCTGTGCTTACTAGATGTATGTTATATACTGTATATAACAAATTAAAGGTTTGAATTCCTGAATTTTATGGGTTTACTATACTAGATGCTCTGTTGGATCATCATTTCAGGGACATTTCCTTACCTAAACAGAGAAACAGAATGATGAAGGGCAAGAAAAAAGCAATGGGAGCAGGAGTCTGACATTATGCTGGTTCCCTACTGAGTTTCTTTGTGGAAAGCTGGGAAGGAGCATCAGTAATCTTCCTTCCTCCCTTCCCTTCAGGGCAAGCCCAAGAATGGTGTAGAACAATCCAGCCAAAGTTCAGCTCTTTATTTGCTCACAGCATATACACAAAATCTTGCCAGACTAAACCTATACCACTCTTAACTCTGATATACCCTGGGAAATTTTACTTTTCTTGAGAAAGTGCTGCTTCATTGTAGTCCACCACCTCCCCCTACCACCTCCCCCTTCATAGACACAATCCATCACAACTTCACTCCCCTTCCTTTCTCAGCAGGAAGGTAGGTGGAGAGGGGGCAAGGGATTGTGAGACTGGCTGGGAAACTGTCACAGAATGTTGAAAACTAGTATGTAATTTTAGCAGCAGTGTAGCAGCACACCAGTAGCTAGTAGCAATGAAGCAATCACAACTTCCTCAAATTTCATTCTCTTGAGTCATGGACACATTCTGTAAGTTAGCCCTTTTGAGGTATCTTGATTCAAAAAAAGTTGCCCTATAATGAACCATTTTTCCAGGTAAAGGTCATGATGAGAGTTTTAGTAATATATAGATAGCTCAAAGTAGTTAGTATTATATGTGTGGTTAAATTGAAACAACAGAACAAGTTTTAAGTGTTACAATACATAAAAGGTATTTTATGGATAATCAACATTCATCCTTGAAATATATCTTTACTGTTCAGCAATTTATTTACAATGGCATGGATGAAAACTGCACTTACTTTCAGCATCTTTCCTATCTGGTGATTCCCCAGGAAGTTTTTTAAGATAATCCTTCAGGAGAAGCTCATAGCGTGGAATTCTCTGAACAGGTTCAAGCATGTGATGTTGCAGTGTCAGGTTTCCACATATTTCTTGTTTCTGAAATGCAAAAAATATATTTCACTGATATATTGCAAAAAAAAAAAAGCCATGGGTCATGTATTTAAATTATTAAATGAACTGGTTATTGTTTTGTATTTTGTTTTTGTTATTCTTTGTGACTTGCCCAGAGTGAGGCCAGTTCCAGGTGAGGCACCCCTTGATGTGAGTGACATTGAGGTGGCCACGCCCACCCAGTCACATGACCAAGCCATGCCTACCCAGTCACATGACCACCAAGCCACGCCCACCAAATAAGCCACGCCGACAGAACCAGTAGTAAAAAAATTTGAATTCCACCACTGGTTCTGTGACCAAGTGCATGCTGACTCTGCTAGTTCATACAGAATGGGTAGAAACTAGAGAGGCAGGTAGTATTTCAAATAACTAACTCCTATGCTATAAAGAGCTTTATAGATAATAATCAGAAGTTTCAATTACATCTAGAAACCCATTGGTAACTATACAGCAGTTCACTAAGCAAAGGTGTTTCATGTGCATAATGTACCAAACCCACAATTGCCTGTCCTGCATTCTTGATCAACTATAGCTTCTGTGTGGTCTTGTATCAATTTAGATCACATTGCAGTAGTCCAAACATGAAGTGGTCAAAGCACAGAAGGGGCTCAATCGATTCTCTCCACCCACCCAGCCGCAGCCAACACCAATTGGATCCAACTTCAGAGACAGGAAAGAACTACTCAAACATACACTTTCTTCTTCAAACCCAGTGCTTGCGCCAAAAAGACAGAATGATTGATAATATTAACAAAAACATCTATCAATAGATATGTGTGCACACCTACACCTACACATGCACACACACACGCACATTCATCCATTCATTCAGCCAGCCAGCCAGCCAGTCATATTCCCATGCATCAACCATTTCATAGCATCCATTTTAAAAATAGTTTAATAAGAAAGCAAATTTTATGAGAAATCAAATTCAGAATATCAACGTGTTTCTGTATTAGCAGCTATCTTAAGATTTTGGCAATATTTTTCCATGTCATTCCATAAAAAATCATACAAAGGGTCACAGACTGTAGTATTATTCATATGAAGATCATGACAAATATTGCATGCAAAAGAAAAAAAAAACATTATACAAAGCTGTTTTCATATGGCAAATCACCAGAAATAAAGAGGAAAAAGAAGGAAAGTGTGTCAGATAGAGAAAAGATCCTGATTAATAGTTGGATTTCAGTCTAAACAGAATAAATTACAGAAGCTCTTCTCTCCCTTTTCTACCCTGTTCATATTTCTTTATTGAAATACTTTTTAGTGTTATATTACCTCTCTAACACACACAACCTCTATAAATCTATCAAACAAATTCAAATGAAAGTAATCAATTAAGGTAATTGGCATGCTTATCCAGAAAATTAAGCTTATTTTGATACATTTATAGTATACAAGGTGAAGCATGTACTGAAAAATGTTATAAGCAAGTACTACATTGCATAGTAAGAAAAAAGTAATAAACATATCACTTATTTGTTTTAATTGAAAGTAATATTTGCCTAACGACTCTAGGATGCTTTTTTTAAATTATGAAAAAAATAGTACAAAACGTCTTCAGCTATGTATATCAGCTGCAAATATCCAAGATGAAATTTCCTTCTCTAAGTTTTTACATATGAGGAACTCTTTATCAATATCTAATGCCGTGACTTCAAATGGACTGGAAAATATTTTACTCCCTAGTTGTACTCCATCTGTTATAGACTTTCAAGATATAAGCAGTTGTACTGCATTGTCTTCTGATATCTGGCTGATGTAAGAGTAGCATAAGGCCAGGTCACTTGAGGCACCCTAGTTGTAGAATTCAGTCCCAATATCAGATCAATCTCATAGTCAATTAGTTTTAGATTGGCTAAAAAAAATCTTTGTATTACAATAGGTATTTAATGTTTCTTTGAGACTGCATGTTTTAAATCTGCTCTCTTCACTTTAGATCAGTTTTAATTCTATGGTTTTATGTTATTATTCTGGTTTATTTTCTGTAGTTAAGGCTAAAACAATATGAAAATATGTTGGCATATAACAAAGAAAAAGAGCGAATACATACTCTTTACATTCCAAGTGGCAACTTAGAAACATACCTGTATGTTTTGAATGACATCCTTAAAAGGAGATGATCTCTGCATCCATGTGTTTACCATATCCATTGCTCTGTCAAAATTCTTTACATATTCTCCATACATCTTCAGAAATGGAGCAAGCTTTTGAAGGATGTCTCCTAACCTTGGGTTTGTATCCCTAAAAACACACATTTAAAGATATAAAGATATATATGTGTGTATGTGTATATATCTATATATCTATATATTAGTTTTTTGAGGTTCTC